TCTTTACTTTAGGCTTATTATACCAACACTGACTACACTTATAAGGTTTCACGGCACCACCGTCACTAAAATCGTAATGTGCAGACAGTAATCGAACTATTCTATCTGGATAAATGCATTTTGACTTTTATGTCTCCTCCTATTCAGAGAAATAAAAAAGAGAAAAAAAGCAAGTGTTATGTGACGTGACACACAGAGAGGCTTTTATATAGGTTAGATAACTACGTTCAGATAAGGTGACTTATTCTGAGCTAGTCACACATTATCAAAAATAATTTTCCCTTTGATGTTTCTGAACTATACCTCATTAGACTTTGATCATATGTTTTCTAATAACAACTGCAGTGTAGAGGTAGTTTTGTCCTTCCTATTTTTACTTGTGGAATGACCAAGTAACATGGGTGGCAATGCTGTTGTCGGATTTACTGTTTGTTTTTCATATTTTTTTGCAAAACTACTCAAAAAAGTATCTGTTTGGTCGTGCCTAATTTTGAAGTGATAGAGTAGAAGGAATGCAGCTAGACTGAGAAATTCAATACTATCCACCGCCAATTCTTGTGCTACTTTTTACCAACGAAATTTGGAACTGTCTGCCACATTATAACGTCCATACGGCTGAAAGGGCGAGTATGTTTCTATACCGTGACCAGCAAATTTCGAGTCGAATACTCCAACTACCGGGCCATGTCAAGCTGGATGACAATACACGCTGGGAGAGTTGATCCAATTGTATATATATTGGTTAATTCTATCAATACAGTCAGATTATCTTAAGTTTTTATTCTGACTTTGGCCTAGTGTGTACTCATAATGCCCATAAAGAATTGTATCTACATTTTTTATGTTGTTAATTATACTGTTATACAGTGTGTTCAGTCTCTTTCCTTCAACTCAATCAGGTTAGAAACTCAGCATAACTCCATGACAAATTTTCTGCTACAGTTACTGTTAGAGTGGTTAGTATTCTTACTTGAAAGTGATCACTGTATCTACAAATACGGCAATAGTGTTGAAAATCTAATGCCATTACCACTCACAGGACCTGTTATCATGGGATTTTCTGTTCGTTTTGTTTAGTCTACTTCACTGTGCTCCTATAGTGCCGTTGTATAAAATAAGTTTGAACTTCATAAAAACTTGGAAATAGCATTTTCTAGAAGAAGCATTTTAGTTTGTTTTCTTGCTGTATTTCATGCAAAGCTACACGTTATCTATGCTAGAATTTCATGATTTTTAAGTCATAGACTAGTCAACACCACTCACTTCCAGCTCTTGGGCTGATTTTACCAGTCTGAATAATGAATAATAATTATAATACACCCACAGCTCTAAAGTGCAGAGCGAGATGTTTTTGATTGTAGAGGAAGGAATGTAATCCTTGGAAAAACCTTAATTCCAGGCCCCAGTCAGCCTTATGAATAAGGGAAGAAGTTTAACAGTAAGGGTAGATCTTGATCTGAAAGATTAGCCAGGTCCAGGAAAAGTCATATCTGACCATTAGTCTTTAGCTATTGCTCCAGAGAGCAATGTATATGACCATTATTCAGCTGAAAACTAAAGAAGTGGAGTTGCAGTCTGTGTACTCCAAAGTTACTTATCAATTTATCATTAGTTTACAAAAAGTGCAGGCAATTAAGAGCCTATATGGGGATTTGCTGATTGATGGTCCTTAAGCTGTACAAAACACCCAGATTACAATTGATCACGATGGCTAAATCCCACCACATGACTACCCAGAGAAGACTGTAAGTACTAATGGAGAGTGAAGTATACTAGTCAAAGATATCTAACTAGCAGGAAAGATTCGTTGTGTTTGTAAGTGTTGAAGGGTACTATGGGGCAGCTGAAAGTTTCTAAATACAGACAAATGTGATTCTAGAACCACTAGGAACCATGAAGAGAATTGGGACTTCAAAGAGCTGAAAGAGTTCTGTATTATCATTAT